TCCTGCTCCTCTGATGCTGCTTGGCCTGCTGTGTTCATCCAGCTCTACACCTTGTTATCTCAGATTCTCCAGCATCTGCAGTTCCTACTATCTCAGCTAATGAGGTGGCTGCCTCAGTGTGCTGGACATTGTCTTTTTACAGTCATCAGTGTGTAGACCACCCATTGCAATAATCCAGGTTTCACGCTGTTTCCCTTTGCAGACCTTCCTCAAACATTAGGGAGTGTCTGCGGGCAAAAACTACTTGACACTGATTGGAGGGCGACCAGGAGTGGGGGCACAGGTTCATTTAGTGCTCCTTCTCCAACACAATGGAGTTCTGGTCAAGTTTAGCATCACTGCTGCCACATCATCTGAGATCAATAGTGACCGTGGACACTTGACACTGTTAATTGTATTTATATATTAATTCAACTTGTATATTAATTGTTCAATTTGTTGCACTAAGAGGAAATTAATTGCCTGGCTTCATGGAATGGAACAGACTCTCCATGAGATATATTTAATCACTAAACAATGGTAGAGCTATCCTATCATTTTAATGTATTGTGTTCCCACTTTAAATATAATGCAGCATCTAAATTTGTCTTAACTCCTCCAATTACAAATGAGCCCAGTGCAACCCGATGCCATTGTGAGTTTTAGGGTCTCTTTCACATAAGGAATAAGTATTGTGTATCTAATTAAGAATGCAGGGGCCGTTGGATAGGAAGAAGCCCCATTCATTACTCCTGCTGAAAGAGTTGTGTCTCCAGATGTATGTGTGTGTGTGTTTGTGTGAGTGTGAGTGTGTGTGTGTGTGTGTGTGTGTGTGTGTGTGTGTGTGTATGAGTGTCTGTGTGTGTGTGAGTATGAGTGTCTGTGAGTGTGTGTGCATGTGTGTGTGTGCGTGTGTATGTGTGTGTGAGTGAGTGTGTGAACCATCGAGATCTAGCAGCAAGTGGTCTGTCTGACTAATTGAAAGTTTGAACTGAGAAGTGGGACTGAAACCTTTGCCCATCTGTTGGTGTTTCAGACGAGTGCTGTTCTCTGTTCTGGAGGCTGCGTGCTGCTAGCTACCAGCGCTCTGTTGGCTATTGTTACTGTCTTCCTGCCAAGTGGACTGTGTGAGAAGAGAATCTGCACACTGGCTGGACACATGCAAACAACATCGGGTGAGTGAACTGACTGCTGCAATTCTCTCTGTTGTCATGTCCAGTGGTCTGATGCTATGCTGTCTTTATCAATACTGGAACTGAACAGGCAGAGGTATGAAATAGGTAGGGATGTATGGAGCCTGCTGGGTTGGAAGTTATTTGCTGATCATAAGATATATCACCAGCAGTTTGCAATAAGACTGAAACTAAAGAAACCTCAATGTGTGTTATTAATAGATCTCCTGTATAGGTTTCCAAAGAAGATATTTTATAATAAAATGCATAAAAACTGACAGACTGTGCACCCACATTTCCGTAAGAGATATATCAAACAGGAAAGGGTTGTCACTGGCAAACACACTCAAAATTGGTCCCATTGTGCTCCAAGTTGATACATTGGCTACTCATCAATGATCTGCTTCTTTCTCACCATCCTGTCAGAGCATTGCTCTCTTACTGGAATACAGTCCACAGGAGGTCATCCAAGGGAACTAGTTCATTCCCAATTTTTGATAGTGAGTACCAAGAAGCTGGTCAGCCATGTAGGCCGATTGTGCCATCCTTGCTGCTGCCTAGATTGAGATTATCAAGCCTGTACAGATTGTAGATCAAACCTAGGACACTCCTTGTTTGGTATTGTTCAACGATAACACAAACCACAACAACTTGAGTTTATACAGAACACCTTTGGTGCAGCATAATGCCAACAAGAGTATTGTCAATAAACTTCTTGTTGACGACTGAGCCTCAGAGGGAGATATTGGGTCGGCTGGTCAAAGCCTTGCGTAAGGAGGTTGGTTTTAAGGGGGAGATTCATTTAGGGAGCAAATTTCACAGCCTATGGCTTTGGCAGCTAAAGGCACAATGGGGAATGATTAAGGTTATGTTTCGGCAACAGACCGGGATTGGGAAAGTGCAGGTATCTCGGAAAATGCAGGAAATAATGAAGGTAGGAGGCAATGACTGCATGCAGGCATTCAAAAACAAGGATGAAGATTTTAAATTTGAGGCATTGTCAGAACAGGAGCCAATGTAATTCAGTAAGGATTGGGTGATGTGTGAACAGGACTCGGGTAAAATAGCTGCACTATTAGCAAGCCTTGAACAACAATGTGCTTGATTTGATGGGGCGAAGTGGTGCTATGATGGTTGGATGTTGGGGGTGTCATATGAAGCGCTCCTCCCAGCTGGTGTTTATTATTTGAAGCCTCATTGTCATTGGGAGGCACATGACAAAACCTCACAGATCATCCCAGATCCCTCTTCTACTGCTGATAGAAAGACGCTGTGAAGAATTCATTATTAGAAAATCATTGCAAAAAACTTTGAGCTGTAAAGAGTGAGTTTTCAATGATAATTGTGCTCATTATTTGAAGGAACATTGTTATAAACTTGAAGATAACCATTTAAACAGAGACCAGTTCCAACATTTTTAGTGAGAGCTTTAAATTAGTTAAACACACTCCAGAATATTCACATTCCACTGAACACTCGTTCCCCATATTAACACAATCAGTTCGTGCCAAATTAACCATCATTTATATACCCATCATCTGTTCCTGCATTCCATTAGATCTCAGGTATTATATGAGGTGATAATAAGCATGAGCAAAAATTAACAAGCTCCAAATCGAGTATAAGTGATAAAGTAGGTTTGATGGTATCAGGAAAGAATGTCTAATTTTAGTTTTAATATTTTCATCAGTCAGAAACCAAACTTAATGAGCAATATGGATATGTGACATTTCAGGGGCTCAGAGGGAGGATAGGCTACTTAGGATCATTTTGCTAACTTCCTAACCAGGGTCTATCTGACTGGAGGCTGCAGTGTTTCACCAGGGAAACAGAAGGAGGGGTGAATTAGAATGGTTTGGTATCTAATTTAGAGTCATAGAGTCAGTGCTGACTAGAACTCCTAAGTTAATCTGGTCCCGCTTGCCAGCATTTGGCCCTCGGTCCTCCAAACCCTTCCTATTTATGTATCTTCCTGTCAGCTGGTTGCAAAGAGAGGTTGAGATCACCTCAGGGCAACTCTAGGCCTGAGCTGTCAATACAGGCAGATAGAAGGTATATCAAAACAAAAACTAATGGGCGAGTTTATCCAAAGATTCTGGTAAAAAAATACCAATAAAGCAATTGAATGGGAAAACACAGTGAATGCACACTTTATCACTGGGGCTGGTGAGATACAAACAAACACTGTGGACTCAAGCATCTGAACATGGAGTAAACACAGAAAGTGCTGGTGAACTTTAGCAGGTCTGGCAGCTTCTGTGGAGAGAGAAACAGAGTTTTGAGTCTGGTATGACTTTCCTTTAGACTCCTCAGTTCTTCTCCAGAATGTAACATGGTCATTTGTACAACTGAAAGTTGCCCGCAACTCTGTATACAAGAACAGGGATTACGTTGAAATGAAAGAGAAAATGCCAGAAATACTGAGTCAGTCAGGCAGCGTCAGTGGAGAGAGAAACAGAATTAACATTTCAGCTCTTTGACCTTGCATCAGAAACCACGTAGGTAAACTTGTCAGGTGATAATGACATCCCTGCCACCCTACCTTTGAGACTTCAGACTCTTGGCGTCTCACCTGTTCTATGGCTTAACTCTGATGCTTTGACCAGGTCTATTCCAGTGCTCCTCAAACTAATATATACGTCGCTCTTCAACATAAAAGAAACACAGAAGTGAATTATGTAAAAATGTGAATGAAGCCTGTGACTTTAAAATGGGCATGAAAGATCCAGTTCACTTATCACCTGCCCTCCAACCCTGCCCCATCTGAAGAGTCCACCTGCATCTCGTCTCCTCATGGAGATCAGTGAGTTCTGACAGATGTTTGCTAATTACAGTTTCACTAGAACCACCAAAGCAGGGGAAATCTTTAGAAATGTAATTCCAATATCACTCTAAGTAAATTATGACTGTACTGCCTTCAGGCGCTGCTGTGTGGGTCTGATGTGTGTTTGCAACTCAAGCCAAATGGCTCATCTCCTACTGGGATGATATGCTCAGCCAACACAATTGGTTTAAGACTAAAGGATGTCTCCCCCTCGACTGCTGTGCATTGCGGAAGAAAAAATCCCACATATTCCAGTGAAGCAAAGTTTAAGTTAACAAATACAAGCAACAAATGCCCAATTGTTTTTAAGCAATAATCTTCTGGCCACTGAATACCATGCTGAATCGTTTAATTGAAATTTGCCAGAGATCGTTATGAACCATTGTTATTTTTCGTAGTTTCCAAATCCTTTGACCAAATCCTTGCAAAGAGGGTTTCTGGTCTGGTGGAGACAGAGTTTGGGAATTAGATCGATTGTCGCTCTTCTTGCCACAGTAGCAGCTGCCGCCTTGACCTCTCCATCTGAAGTTAGTATAAAGGATGACTTTGGGCTGGCAACCTGGTATCCTGGCACATCCCTGCCTGGTCAGCACACTTCAGTCACAAGAGGGAGAGCAGACTGCAAGTGGCTATTTGCAATGTCATCAAAGAACCACCCCAGAAACTTTTCCTCAGCCCTCAATGACCTAGAAGTGCTGAAAGTAAGACGTCTGTCATGATAAACATTCCTTGTGTATGTAGAGTGCGCTGAGAGAGAAATTCACTTAATGGATTTGATCTGCTCAATGGCCATTTGGGGGTTTTAACTGCACCATAGCCAGATCTGATTTGACCAATGAGCTTTCTTCAATTTAGACTCTCAACTAAGTTCTAAATTTTGTTCTTTAAAACCCTGCATAAGTTGAGCTAACTTATATTGAATTTACAGTATAAACAGTTTCCTAAAGCTAGGCTGAGAAATGATAATCCTTGCAGAAAGCGAGAAACCAGGTGGGGCTCAAATCACAAACTCAAAACCATACAAAGTATTTAAAGACCTTCCTGTAATGAAATTTCATTGCAGCTGTGCCCGCCACAATTTTGGTGCGAAAAAAAGCATAGTGTTTTATAAAGTCCATTGATGTCTCAGTGTGTAACTTCCCACCACTGAACTAAACCATCTGGAATTGGCAGATCTCAAACCTTGACTCTTGGCATTTACAGATATAAGGATGAGATGGGGAATCAAAAACTCAAGTCATAGAATCTGTACAGTGCAGAAAGAGGCCATTCAGCCCAGTAAGTTTGCACTGACCCTCCAAGCACATTCCACCAATTCCCCATAATCCCACATTTTCCACAGCTAATCCACCTAATCTACACATCCCTCTGCACAACAGGATAATTTAGTATCTAGGAGATAGCAAGAACTGCAGATGCTAGAGTTCCGACACTGAGTCGGAACAACCCTGCTGTGAAGTCTCTTCCAGGGATGTCCACCTTGAACATGTTGTCCTCCTCCCTCTGAAAAGATCTCAGTGGATCTCTTTCCCATTGCAGCCCACTGGTGCGATCTCCACTACCCATTATCTGCATCCACCTATCACCATCCCATCTACCTTCCCCCAGTCCCACCCTCTGTCTACTTATTTCTGAGCTGCCTTCCCCTTCCCTTGTCCTGATGAAGGCTGTCCCTGCTCGCCTGATGCTGCCTGACCTACTGTGTTCCTCCAGCTCCACACTGTATTGACTGAGGATAATTTAAGCATGGCCACTCCACCAAACCTGTACGTCTTTGGCAGAAAGCAGAGCACCCAGAAGAAACCCATGCAGACACGGGGAGAATGTTTAAACTCCACACAGACTGTCACCCGAGGCTGGAATCAAACCCGGGTCCCTGGCGCTGTGAGATAGCAGTGCTAACCACTGTGCTGACTAAACAATCTCTACCATTGCTGTCCCTACACCCCACTAATCAGTGGTTAGTGGCTGAGATTAGGCAATTGTGTAAGACAGATATTTAACAATCTCTGAATCCAGTCCCACGCTGATCGCCTGTCAATCAAAACGTCTGAGCATCTGTTGTTTGCGTTCTGAGACCAGGGAAGGAGAGGTTCGCAGAGGAACATAGAAACGTAAAAACCAGAAACCGTAATAGGTCATTCAGCTCTGCAATGCCGGGTCTGTCATTTAATCTGAT